AGCTATGTTGTGCCAGCATCTAAGCTCCGCTGCGTTATGCTTAGCATCTCCCACCTTCAAATGTCATTAAGGGATGGTTGGGGATGTAGAGATGACATTTCCCATTCGTCTTTTGTTGAATCCTATGGTTGGGAGGTGTTAGCATAATGTAGGAAACCCAAATACTAAGAATATATTGTCATTGCAAAAATACAATGGGCATTCTAGAGTCTAGACCCCCTAGAACATAAGTCCCTGTTGCGAAGGAGGAATAGTACACTTGGATTTTCAAGATCAAAGATCTTTTTTATTCGAAATTTTGGGAACCACTTAAAATTCAGTAGATAATTCCATTTAAAAGAAAATTTTGAATTTTAAATTTTCTAACACTTAGATTTCATCCTTTAAAAATTGGACGACTTCTTTTCAAACTTGAGACGTTATTTTTTAAGCTCATGAAGAATAAAATTTGAAATTTTCTTTTTATTGAGTACAACAAATGAGTTGAAGACGACATCCCTAAAATCTGTGTCTTAAGAAGGGATTGTATACTATGAGAACATTTATCTCTATTCCAGGGATGTTACAATTACTCTTAACCATTAGATGTCAAATTGGATGGTTTAGGAAGTGTCATGAAATTTGAGATTATTTTTTTTTTTAACTTTAAATCTAGACACCGACACTTTTACAATGACACAATTTGAAATGTGACAGATAAAAGTAAACGTGAACTCCTTATATCAAAAGTAAATGGCCACTTTAAATACTTTTTCTCATACAACTACTCCTACTTTGAGTTTTGATTTGCACCATGAAAAGATAAATTTTAAATATTTTATATTACAAGTTACTCTCTTTCAGCTATTTCTGATTAAGGCATATTTAATGGCATTGTGCACACAAGGTTAAAATGGGACATAGACAAACAGCTGCAAAAATCTTGGCGCACAAATAACTGCAATTGAGTCTTCATTCATTCGTGAAAGAGACTAGTTACATCGAAGAAAAGACACCATTGAAAGAGAGAGAGAGAGAGCCATGGAAAATATGCACAGTAACATAGAAGAAAGGACCTTCCATCTCGAGATAGAGAGAGAGTCACGGAAATTATGCAAAGTATGGTTTAAAAACTCGGTGATTTGGATCGGAATTGGTCAATTTGAGTTGAGATTTGTCGAGCTGAACTGGAACTCAAAAAATATCGGGAACTAGCCGGTTCTCCCATGAACGGACCAGCTCAATCCGGTCCTTATCGGTTTTCTTGCATAACCCCTTACCGGTTTTCTTGCAAAACCGACCGGTTATGTCAAAGAACATGTATGAAGCGGGTAGAACCAGCACCAATTAATTTTTTTATTTATTTTAGGAAACTGATCTGAATCGCCGATCCTTCGAACCAGATCAAAATCCAAAGGGGCCAGCTAGGTCATCGATACCTTTTCTTTTAAACCTGGTGCAGTTACATAGAAGAAAGATATCCCATCGAGAGAGAGATTGACGGGAAATATGCCTGCCTTTATGCCAACGAACAAAATAAAGCTTCTTGTCTCCACCAGCCTCAACTTCATTTTGTTTTGTTTGGTGGGATCTTTTTTTTTTTTTGTCTTTTTTAATACTAG